GTTTCTACACAAGCAGGTTTCAACTCAAACGGAGCACCTTTTCACCCAAGCACTAACCCCAAACAAACAGCTTTTAAACTAAATTTTACATTTTAAAATGACAATACCAGGCAGTCCCAGGTCTCTCTCCCAGCTCTCTAACTGCTTGGACTAGCAAGGAAGCAGACAAGCAGCCTCTTCACTAACTGAAAGTTTGAATTTCCCCACTTTCCCTGCCTTCCCCGCATATTAGGTATGCTAATATCTGTGCACTGGAGGATTCTGGGAGGAACACCCAGCCTCTGATGGGGGGTCCTGTGGGGCACCCCAAAACACTGAGGAGCTCTCTTGGCCTCTGGTGGGACTGGGGCTGTGCAGCCCTGTTCTGATCAGGAGGTGCAGCTGGGGGGTCACCATGCATTTGGGGAACAGGGCACAGAAAGGGGCAGGAGTTTCAGGGGCCATTCCAACTCATACCTAGCAGGGGAGATACCGTTATTGTAAAAGTGGTTTTCCCAAGGTAAGGCTCATCTATTGTGCTTTGGATATGCCGATGCCTGTGATTTCCCCAAATATGGGAAAATTAACTGCCTAGTTTGTGGTAATGGGGGGGCTGTGTTTATGGTTTCCCTTGATCTTTTTAGAATCACTATTTTCCCTTTGTTCCTTGGCTATTTTCATTGCATTCTACCATTTAAATTTGCTGCTATAGGCCTGTTGGCCCTGCTGGTTTCCCCTGCTTTGGATATGCCGATGCCTGTGATTTCCCCAAATATGGGAAAATTAACTGCCTAGTTTGTGGTAATGGGGGGGCTGTGTTTATGGTTTCCCTTGATCTTTTTAGAATCACTATTTTCCCTTTGTTCCTTGGCTATTTTCATTGCATTCTACCATTTAAATTTGCTGCTATAGGCCTGTTGGCCCTGCTGGTTTCCCCGCTGGGCTCCAGGAAGCAGATCCTGGAAAGTCAGCAGTGCAGATGACAGAATGGTGAGGTCCAATGTGGCTGCCATAGCAAGCAGTCTCTGGTGCCAGTTCAGAGGCCTCCCAGAGTTGCAGTGGGAGGCTTCTGGGTGGTGGCGGCTGAACCCTTTTTACTATATTCGCTCCATAAGAGGGACATACTTTCTCCCCCCTGGGGGAGAAAAGGTGCATTTTATGGAGCGAAAAATACGGTATTTCCATGCCCTTCTTTTGGGGTCTTTTTGTTTAAACAAAATACGCTATTTGATTGCTATATTTCATTCAACAATGTTATCCCATCAACTCAAAATGACTATCAGTATACTTCCTGTTTTGATCCCCTCCCCCTTTGCCATTTCTGCTCCTGGTGAGTTCTGTAGTTGGTGTTAGCAGTGAGTACTTGGGCTCTGGGCCTACCAAAGTTGCCCTTACCTGTGTCCTTATTCTATAGTAGCTATCATAAAATCGAAGTTACCTAAAAATTTGGTGCGTCTTATGGAGAGGTGCATTTTATGGAGCGAAAAATACGGTATTTCCATGCCCTTCTTTTGGGGTCTTTTTGTTTAAACAAAATACGCTATTTGATTGCTATATTTCATTCAACAATGTTATCCCATCAACTCAAAATGACTATCAGTATACTTCCTGTTTTGATCCCCTCCCCCTTTGCCATTTCTGCTCCTGGTGAGTTCTGTAGTTGGTGTTAGCAGTGAGTACTTGGGCTCTGGGCCTACCAAAGTTGCCCTTACCTGTGTCCTTATTCTATAGTAGCTATCATATCATAAAATCTACTTATTGCCAGTTCAGATTCCTCATGTTATATGGGGAATTAGGATGTCTTCTTCACCTGTGTACTTCAGTTTTTACTGACATTGAATCATGTTTGACCTTTCCCCCATTCTATCAGTTCACTGAGCACCCTCATGAGCACTTCAAAGTTCATGTTGTTTTCACTACTATGAATAATGAGAAATTTGAAAAAGACTAGACCCAGTGCAAGTCTTTGTAACAAGCTACTTTATACTTTCCCATTTAGAGAATCATTTCTCTATACCTAAGCACAGCTTTCAATTTTTCAATCAATTACCAGACTGTAAAGAAACCTGTTCTGTTTTGCCATAACTGGCAAGCGGGAGCCTATTGGATGTGACCAGGCATACACTGGTACCTTCTTAATTAGCTGCACTTCAGTGCTGCAACTTACATGGTTTAATATACTCCAGCTAAACTTCCACCAGAAATTAAACAGGCCCCATCTCTACAGATTTTTAAGAGATCAGTAAAAACGGAATTATATTAAGAGGCCTTGGCAACATCCTAGGTTAAATTTGAGACCCATATTCTACTGCAGTTATGAGTTATATAATTTGGCTCATCTAAGCCAACAAATGGCAATAATCAGTCACCTTCCTGTTTTTGTTGTTCTTTGTCTGTGCATTTTTTATTATTTTAGTTTGTAGTTTACTCAGTTGTGTAAACAGCCCCAAGTAGTATTTCACTGAGTCAGGCAGTATAGAAACAGACAGAGAGACAGACAGAGAGACAGAGAGACAGAGAGACAGATAGATAGATAGATAGATAGATAGATAGATAGATAGATAGATAGATAGATAGATAGATAGATAGATTCTGGCCAATTTGTTGAAACATTTAAAAACCAAGATGTATAGTTCCTGTCAGATCACTTTTATTTCTGCTTCTTGACAGTCTTGGTTATCTTTAAAAATTTAATGAGAAAGGACTTACTTTTCCAGAAACCATCTTGATTCATGTTCAGTGGGACTTCCATGTCATTGGAAAAAATGTCTTCAGAAATGTTATCTGTTTGTAAGCTAAGATAAATTGCCATAACTCACTAGATTGGAGCACATGAGAGACTAGGGATTCAAATTCCTATTGTGCCTCTTACCAGGGGCCATCTAAGATTACCCGGAGTATGTGTGACTAATGGGTAATATGATCTACCACCTGCACAGCCTTGAGCAAGGTGACAGTCCCAGACCACCACTAGAATGAAAGATCAGTAAACCAATCCTAAGTCCTTTATTCCTAGAAATCCCTGGGAGGGAAACCATGAGTTAGAATTTACTTGATGGCACATGGTTATTATTTTTAACTAAGCAGTCTATAGTTTCTATTATCTAACCCCACAGAAGCTCTGGATTTAAAGTTCAGAATAACATTAGTTACTTTACAGTCCTTTGATTTGAAGACTGATGTTTAGTAATAAAGTCAGTGAAGATCACCAACCAAGTGTTTACAACTAACTGATTGTAACTTGTCCATAATACATTGTTACTGTCGATTAATAGAAGAGAAATCTGCCTAGATCAGTGATGGTGAACCTTTTTGAGCTCGAGTGCCCAAACTGCAACACAAAATTAACTTATTTCAAAGTGCCAACACCGCAGTTTAAACCCAATATTGAGGTTTTTGTTTAGAAAAAAAAAACTTCTCGTGCACTGCAAGGGTTAAATACTTGTACTTTGTTTTTCTATGGGTGGTATTAACAAAGAAATACTTATCGGTCTTCCAATCCCTCATTGGGCTAGACCGGTAATGGTCGCCATTGCACCACTCCGCCGGACCACTGCATCAGCAGAGGGAAGTGTCATAATCTGGGATCAGAGGATGGGTAAGTATTTCTCGATGGTGACTTATGGCTCAGGTGCCCACAGAGAGGGCTTTGTGTGCCAGCTGTGGCACGCATGCCATAGATTTGCCTTTGCTTGCCTAGATACTGAGAATGCCTAAAATATATTGATGGTGTAATATTCCACTCAACCTGTGAAACGTATACTGCTGGTATACTGCTCCATACTCAATAATATATGTTTCTGGATCCATATATGGTGGATTAAATTGTGAAACACTGAAAGAAAGATGTAAATAGTTATAGTAAAATTATCTAGTGTGTCACTGTTTTTGCTAATTTTACATTCGTTTTTATTTTCAGAACAACATCTCTATATAAAACAGTCTATGAATTGTGATGGGGATAAAAGCTATGAATACTGCAGTATTTTCTTTGGTAAGTATGATTTCTAAATTTAATTTCTTACGTAAAATATGCATGGAAATATGAAAAAATCAAGTGATTCTTAAACATCTACAGATTCTGTAGGATGCTTGTGGAAGTCAGGGGGATTAAACTGAGCAGCTGGCAGGTTAACTAATTTTATTATAAAGCGTGGATATGCTTGTGAAAGTCAGAAAGGGGGATTAAATTGAGCAGCTGGCAGGTTAACTAATTTTATTATAAAGCGTGGAACTAGAAAAAGGGGTCATTTTCAGCCTTGTAGTACTCAATAGAGTGGTAATGGAAAAGTGAAAGCAATCACGTTTTATAATTTTGTTTGGAGGACTTTAAAAACTGCCTGTTAGTATGTGCTGATGTGAATGACATTTTTACTTAAGAAGTGCAAAAACATTTCATTGTGCAGTTTTGTTGATTTATATTCATGTGAACTTTGGAATTCGTTGAGCATACTTTGAAAGAGAGAGTGACTTGGACAAATTACAGTGATGCCCCGCATAGCGAGGGTTAATCCGTTCCGGATTAACCCTCGCTATGTGAAATCGTCGCTAAACGGAACGTAAAAGCCCATTGGAACACATTGAACATCGTTTAATGCGTTCCAATGGGCCCTAAACTTAACGTTCAGCGAAGTTTCCTCCATAGCAGCAGCCATTTCCGCGCCCTCGGTAAGCAAGGGGAGGGCGTGAAAACGCTGCGCGCGGCCATTTCGGGCGTCCAGCGGCCATTTTGGAACCTCCGAACAGCTGATTGCCCGACTCTGTGGGAGGCTTGGGGGGGCAGCGGCAAGAGGAGAAGAGGGAAAGTGGGGGGAGGACGCGCGAGCGCGCGGCTTCCCTCCCTTTGCCTGCCTGCCTCGCCGCCTGCCTTCCTCCCCGGGGGCATCAGGAGAAGGACGAGGAGGAAGAGGGAAAGCGGGGGGGTGGACGAGCGAGCGAGCGCCATTTCCCTCCCTCCATCTGCCTGCCTGCCTGCCCGCCTGCGTTCCTCCCCGGCCAGCGCGGCCCCGTATCACTCTCGCGGCGGCGGCGGCTTCTTCCTGGCACCTGTCTTTGGTAAGCGAGTTTTTTCCATAGGGACCGACGCTATACCTCCGCATTAGCGATCCCGGAAAAGGGATCGCTATGCGGATTCGTCGTTATACGGTGCGCTCCTTATGCGAGGCACCACTGTATTAAAGTGTTTCAGAGAGTAATTAATGGAGAGATAAATCTTGGGACCATTTTCCCTTGTGTGTGTTGTAATGCTTAGTTACAGTTGTACTATAGTTAACAATATGCAAACATCTCTGTGGTATTCTATGAATTTATTATGACATTTATAAAAAGTTAATTTAAAGATTGTTTTATGTAATTAATATTCATGTGTATTATGTGGCTGCACAGGGATGGGCAAACGGCTTTTTCAGTTTAATTTTTTTGTTTAAGTTACACCATCTTTTTGCATAACAACTCAGTTGTAACAACCTTAGAAGCAAGGTCCTTGGGCTGCTGGCAGATCTGAAAATTGGCCCTTGGCTCTGCTGATAACGCTCAGGTCAACATTCCCTCTAAGGCGGGTGCATGTGCACATAGAGCTCCATTGGCGCTGCACAGTGGCAGCCAGGGTATATCCTGGTTTCGTATGAAACCCCACCCTCGTGCACAGATGGATGAGGTTCTTGCGCAGTGGGGATGAAAATTAGAGGGAACATTGCTGCAGGTGGTATAAATAACTTTGCAATTTGCACATTTATTTAACAATTTATTTTTCTTGTTACAGAAGCATCTAAACCATCAGTGAATGGTGCAAATAGAAGATTTACAGAGATTATACTTGGGTCTAAAAGCTACAAAGGAAAATACTTTGCGAATGGGATGAATATGCAAGTAGTGACTGCCTGCAGCAGCTTCCTGACTTACAGTAACTAGCTGGAAAACATACCTAGTGATGTTTCAATTTCTGCTTTACCCCATTTGAGATTTGTTGTCTTTATTGGGGAAAGACGTTCAAAGTGGAGTACCATAAACTTGATATGGATAGCAAAAAAAAAGACAAGGAGAAACCAGATGATAGAATGGCAAGGCCTAGTGGACGATCAAGTCATAACTCACGCGGCAGCAGCTCTTCAAACTCTGGAGTATTGATGGTTGGACCTAATTTCAGAGTTGGAAAAAAAATTGGTTGTGGCAATTTTGGAGAGCTACGATTAGGTAAGATATTCCTAGAGTGGTCTTTTAGACCAGATGGGTGTGGT